TGATCGAATGAAAAAAATATACAAGACAAACTAAAATATTTTGTTAATATATATATATATCTATATATATATATATTTATATATTTATATATATATATATATTAAGTTAAGAAATGTGTATCTTGATAAAACTTATCTTGAGGACCCCTGCAGACCCTCATGACTGTTAAATGTCTGTATGTTTGTCAGATAATTTGACATGGAAAGGTTAGTTCAGTTAGTTACTAGTTCTCCCCAAAAAAGTTGTATAATTAAATATACAAGTATAAATAGAATATTACGTAATCTGATATTTATGAACTACTAATTCATATTATTTCAAAAATACTTTTTACCTTCACCTTTTACCTGTTCACTGCATGATGTTTGCGTGTGCTTATGCATGCATTCTTTTCTCTTGGCATGTATAGGTTGTGTGTCAGGCCTGTTCAACTAACAAACAGCCGCTGAAATACCTGAAGAATCACCTTGCGCGAGTTTGCGATCTCTGCTTCTCCACTTTGCAGCAAAATAGTTCAGGTTCATGACGCAAACACACTCACACAGAAACTCTGTCTGCTTGAAGCCTCGGTCTATATATTTGAATTGCTTTGTATTAAATAAGAGTGTGTGTGTGTGTGTGTGTGTGTGTGTATTTACTAATATTAGGTGACCAAGTACCCAGTAATACACCTCTGTCACCGACTGGCAAGTCGCCTGGTGCCTATTCCTTCAGAAAGCAGAAGAAAATACCAGCAGCCCTTAAAGAGGTGATGATCCAAAAAACTGTCTTTCATATGGCAGTCAAAGCTGACTGAATCTAACCTGTTATCATAAAGCCAGATCCAGGTATACAGTCTGTTGAGGTTTGTCTCGCTCCAGCCATCGACAGCTGTCTTGTGCTGCCTCCTGTACAGTTAATCAAACGGTCTAAAAGACGAGTAATATGTGACGTGTGATATGTAAATCTATAATTTTAGTACTTTGAGTAGTGTTTGTTTTATCAATGCAAACGTTATGTCTTTATACAAGCATTTTCGGCAGGTGAAAAATGCACTCTGATCAATGTATAATTACATTTTTGTGGTTCCTGAAGCATCTGAAAAACCTGAATAACGAGAGGTGTTTTCACTGAGGTGGGACTGTAGGCAGAAAAAAATTCTCCACAAATTTGGATGAGGAAATACGCCAGTTACTTTGTTTCCCATGTATTGACTGACAGCGCGTGAGTTCAGAGGCGTCGTGTGCGCTGTGTGAACATGATGTTACTGTAGTTCTACACTAAACGTGAACATGCATCACGTGAACTCATCTGACTCGCACAAAAACAGATTCAGTATTCCTCAAAATAATGCAAACTCAGAATATGATGCAAACCTGCAATAATTAAACATTAAATAACACAAATATCCTTTATGTATTTAATCCCATTTCATTATGCAATGTCTTTGCTGCTGACCTTCGATGATCCAATTCAACCATACTAATCAGCAAAAATTACCTTAGATGAACACTTGTTTCTTTTTTTAATTGCTGAAGACTGTTGAACTTTCTTCTCCTGCATCCTATTCTGCATGCAATCAGTTTGAGCTGCGGCCTCTACTGTACAGATGTGAATTTACATTTCCTTAAGCCTGAGGCTTATTCGTTTCACTTTTGGTGTGATGGGCTCTTACATTTGCCAAAAATATAACTTTTTATATTAAAAACAAGCAAGCAAGCTCAGCCCAGATGAGAAAAAGTAACGCAAAAGTAATGTAATGCATTACTTTCCATAAAAAGTAACTAAGTAATGCAATTAATTAGGGAGTAACACAATATTGTAATGGATTACTTTTAACCAACTTTAACATTTTCCCAACACTGATTATAATTTTACAAACAATTTGTATTTCATTTAAATGTACTAAATCCTGAGAATGTTTCCACAAAAATATAAAGCAGCACTGTTTTCATTATAGACAATAATAAGAAATATTTCTTGAGCAAATCCTCATATTAGACTGATTTCTGAAGGATCATGCGACACTGAAAACTGGAGTAATGATGCTGAAAATTCAGCTTTGGATCACAGGAATAAATTACATTTTAACATATGTTAAAATAGAAAACAGTTATTTTAAGTTTTAGTAATATTTCACAATATTACATATTACTGTTTGTACTGTATTTTGATCAAATAAATGCAACCTTAGTGAGCTTAAGAGACTTCTTTCAAAAACATTACAAAATCTTAATTTCATACGGTAGTATGAATATGCATTTACGGATGTTGTAATCTTAAAGTTTTAGCTTGTAGGCTTAAACGAGTTTCTGAGCCACTGATATTCAGTTATGTCTTTTGTTGTTTACTTCTTAAAGTAAAATCATACACTTCCATCCTCATTTTCTTTGATTCATTCAGGTGGTGACAGCAATGGGGCGGACGTGGCATCCGGAACATTTCGTGTGTACTCACTGTCAGGAGGAAATCGGCTCCAAAAACTTCTTTGAGCGAGACGGCCAGCCGTACTGTGAAAAGGACTACCACAGCCTCTTCTCTCCACGCTGTTACTACTGCAACGGACCCATTCTGGACGTAAGGATTCTGCTTCCTATCAGCACCTTAAGCGGTCACAGACGGGGCATTCACGGACATGTGTGTTAGCGTCTCATGTGTCACCACCCAGTCGAGATAGTGCTTACTATAGCCGGCCACACTTTACCTCTGGCTTCAGATTTCCTGTAAACATAAACAGTCACTTAAAGACACTCTAAATAGGTTCTTTGCGGTAGAACTCAACACAGAGAGAGTCTGCTGAGAATGTAAATGCATAAGAAAAAAAAAGCTTAAATCTCTTTTAAGGCTCTAAAGTCATTTTAAAGCAATACATCTTTAGTAAAAATGACTAAACATCCTTAAAATAAGATACATTTACAAAAGTGTCTACCACAGCATAATACAAAAGCAGCATAGTATGGCTGCATGCAAAAACATACAGAGCAACCAGTGTAGTCTGATTCACTAATGATTCTAATGAGATTCATGAACACGAGTTATATGATTGAATCAGTTACGAGTTAACATCTGAATCGCTCACTGACTGGAGACATAAATGCACATTAGCACAATATTTACATATAGTACGCAAACAAAAAAAAATTATAAAATGAAAAAGGCAATAAACAACAAGTCATGAGGTTTTGTATTTGCTGGCTGGATGCAAAAACATATAGTGCAACCAGTGTAGTCTGTTCAGTAACAAATGATTCTTATGAGAAGATTCTTTTAATGAGTCAGTTCTAAAGATTCATAATCACAGAACTTATTGGAATGAATCAGTCATGAATTAACATTTGACTCATTTGACTGGATGTTTATATGATAACAGATAAACATACACATTAACACAAAACAAATAACAGAAACTAAATGAATATGTTATGTTGAAAATTTGTATTTCGTTTAGCATGTAGTTAGAATTGGGGTAGTTTATATTGCTAAAACAATTATGTAGGAAATAAATGATTTACACTTTTGTTTCTGTAGGTTGGCACATGAAATGAACACTATTGCCTGTAATTAGTAATAATAGTCTTATTCTTTGTTTTTCTTGCATTCTTTCGAATGAAATTGTGCTTTCTGTACTTTCACCATCATTTCATTGTAACGAATCGCTTTTACTTCCTCCTGCAGAGAGTGGTGACCGCATTAGACAGGACTTGGCATCCGGAGCATTTCTTTTGTGCCCAGTGCGGGTCATTCTTTGGGCCTGAGGGTAAGCAGCTTCCACTCCTCTCAACCTCTTTTCTTCTCTTTAGCTGATGTTTGCTTTTTTTACCAGCTTATTTTCTTTAATATGGTTTTAAGCCTTTGGCAACCTTTTTTGCCCTCTTTCTGTCATTGTTCTGCAGGCTTCCATGAGAAGGAGGGAAAGGCGTACTGTAGGAAGGACTACTTCGACATGTTTGCCCCCAAATGTGGCGGCTGTGCTCGTGCCATCCTGGAGAACTATATTTCGGCCCTTAACGCTCTTTGGCACCCTGAGTGTTTTGTCTGCAGGGTCAGTATATGTGTGTGTGTGTTTGTGGGTGTCTGTACTGATATATCAGCCAATTAATAGGCCAATATTTTGCTTGGACCTGTTTTTATTTTATTTTTTAATGTTATTTTTATGCATTCAATTTTTTTTGTGTGTTTTTAAAATGTATTGAGCACGTTACATTTGATTATATTCATTATATTTCATGACATTTTATTGCATATATTACAGTTATTACATGTTATTAAATTGATTTAATCTCCCTCGCACAAAAACAGATTCATCAGTATTCCTCAAAATGAATAAAAACAGTGAAATGCAAACTCAGATGATCAAATAAGCACAAATATCCTTTATGTATTTAATCCCATTTTATTTGCTGCTGATCTTCGATGATCCAATTCAACCGTACTAATTTAACTTCAGTTAAACGTTTAGTTAAACATTCCCTTATTTATTTCACTTTTGGTGTGAAAGGGCTTTTACATTTGCCAAAAATACAACTTTTTTATGTTAAAAACAAACAAGCAAGCCTAGCCCAGATGAGAAAAAGTAACGCAAAAGTAATGTAATGCATTACTTTCCATAAAAAGTAACTAAGTAATGCAATTAATTAGGGAGTAACACAATATTGTAATGGATTACTTTCTTTAACATTTAACATTTTCCCAACACTGATTATAATTTTACAAACAATTTGTATTTCATTTAAATGTACTGAGAATGTACAGTTATTTTAAATTGCAAAAAAAAAAAAAAAAAACACAATATTACAGTTTTTGCTGGATTTTTGATCAAATAGATGCAGCCTTGATGAGCAAAAGATACTTCTTCAAAAAGTTTTAAATGTCTTGAGATTTAAACTTTTGACTGGTAGTGTAGATGTCAGTAAATTGAATCCATTCATTCATTTTAGGTTTCGGCTAACACAGACGGATCCTCAATGAGCGGCTACCTGGAGAGGGCGAAGGCCAACAGAAAACAGTGGAAACGGTTCTGGTTTGTCATCATGAACAAAGTTCTGTACACTTATGCTGCCAGTGAGGTATGAACATATAAACGGGGCAATTTAAAATAAGTAAATAGAGTCCATCTTTAATTTTCTGTAGACTTTGAGGTCAGATTGAAATGATCAGGATGCAAATGCTACTCTTATTGCTGGAGCCTCTGCTGTTTTGGAGTGATAGTATCAGTGATAGTGACTGGGTGGGTCTAGTTTCTAAACAGAAATAGCCAGTGATGTGTAAATGAGGGCAATCGTGTGTTAATGTGCTCAGGTTTCTGTTATCAAACACAGTTTAGTTATAATAGTTATTATTTTATATATATATATAATATATATATATCAACTTGCATGTTGTGAAGTGATGCTGTTAAATTTCTGCTTTATAACCACATATTTTATTATTTATCAAATTATGTAACCAGCTCATTGCTTTTTTCCACTATTTTATTTATTTAGCATTTTTACCCTACTTGTATTTATTGTATGCAGGACGTAGCAGCTTTGGAAAGTCAGCCTCTTCTGGGATTTTCTGTCCGAACAGAGAAACCCGAATCTTCCCTGCATTTTAAACTTTATCACAAAAACACTCTGTACTACATCTTCAGAGCGAGCGACAGCCAGATCTGTGACAGGTGAGTGTATTTGTATAAAAGAGCCTTCAGTCATGAAACACTCCATGTTTTTAGCCATTTCAGTGTCATAATCATTGCATAAACATTTTTTCTCCTAGATGGATTGAAGCGATCCAGGAAGCCACGGTTCTCTAACCCTCTCTTCCTCAGCCTGTGATGGACCTTCATACAGAAGACACGCATTACATTTGATTAAATCTAAGGCTCACCACATTTGCATGTGCAGTTGCTACTATGAAGTTGTTTCAACTGTGAAATTAATGTTTTTAGTTATGAAATACTTCTCCATAACACATCTGATAATGCATTTGCATAATATACTACAAACCCTTGCTGTTATATTTATGCTTTATGGCAAATACACTGTATCCAGTTAGTTGCATTCAATAAATGTATTTTTATACAATTTCATTTCAATATTTTGTCATTTTAGAATGTAGGTTGTTTCAAAAAAAAAAAAAAAAAAAAAAGATTTTGAATATTTGATATTGTACTATGGCTCAGCACATGTAGAGTATGATCAAGCCTTGTGTCACTCTGACAGAGGAACCTGAGGTAATACTATGGTAACACCTCCAGCAGGACAGGTAGGGGGTGAGACTGATCTCGACAGGGTCAGGGGTCACACTGCCTACGTCACAAGCTCCTAAGATGGCGTTTTGATGACGACGGGAGAAGTGAGGACCCCTGCCCTTGTTTACAAGGTACTGGAAAATAAAATACATATGCGTTTGTTGTCGCATAGAAATATGATACAAACAAAGGCGCGGTGTTGAACTGAGGAACTGGTGGTGATTATGTTATAACGAAAACTGCGGCTTTAATGCCTTGCGTGATCCGCTTACCTAACTTAACCACGGCAAGCTATCATTTCCTGTTGTTTGTTTTTTATTATTTTATAATTCTCATTGTTTACCTCCTAGCAAACATCCATATCGTCGGATTCAGGCGTGGTAGGGGAGTATAAAACCATAAACTGGTCATTTACACGTTTATAAACGAGCAGTTCCGCATTTATATGCGTGTGTTTTTACTCCGGACCCACCGTGTCCTTTAACGAGCCCGGCCGTGTGGTGTTTCGACGAGCATATGCTGATATTTATTTTAATAACCTTTTGAAACGAAACCAAAACGCGTGTCGTTTCGCAATTTTGATCAAAGACCAGCCCTGATTAATTAGCACATGCGCAGTCGGTCTTCAGGATCTGTTCATCTGTAACTCGTAGTCATTATTTGCTCTGCATTGTTGTTGTTCGATGCTCAGTAAAGCACAATAACTAACTGAAAAACGGGAGATGATTGTTATTGTACTGTAATTATGACCATTATGCCAAAGTCTATTTAAAAAAGAAATGATCGTGGTAACGGAGCTTCTGCTAAAATGCTGTGGTTTCTGCAGAAATCATAATAAAACTGTAGTGTAAGCTTTAGGAGTCGATTTCATTTTGTTTTCAATAACTTTTTTTGATATAAAGTTACAGCTGTTTTATTGTAACAAGTGACAATAACGAGTGAGTATCAAATACATGATTAGCCTACGTTTTTGGTAAGGGAACACAAACAAAATCACATTCGTTGTTCGTTATTCACAGAGAAATATTTAATAGCAGCATTTACAAGCATTGTAATCAGTCATAGTCGGTTACTGTACACTCCCAAGCAGCTCATCTGCGATATTGTGAAGAGTGCTGCTAATCACATGTAATCTGGATGATGCAATCACATTCCAAAAAGTAAGTACTTGTAATTAGAGTACATTACATTTGAAAATGCTCAATCAGATTACAGTTACTTTTTTATGCGTCACATGATTACATATTATTCACACAATGGGAGTACATAATTTATTATTTATTGAGTCTCCGTAATTCTTTTTTTTGTTTTTTCGTTTCTTTTCTAAAACTACTACTTTATCATACCATTTCGCTTTGATTATTCACAAATGTTGTGTAAATAAATGTGTAAACCATGCTTCTGAATTTGAAGGGGAAAAAAGCACCTCTCAAGCTATTAGACCATGTATGAAACAAATATTGATGCAAGTTACTAAACACTGCTGAGAAACTCTGTTTCTTCGTCATATCTAATGACTTTAAGTGATTGATGTTTCTGGACAAAAATATTTCAAACCTGGGAGACTTTGGGCATGTAATGTCATATTTGTTTTTATGATTGTTAATGTTTGTTCCCAAATGTTTTTGTCAGGCAAACCCCTTAAAATAAAATATTTACTTGAAATATCTCTGAGAAAGTTTATATTTCAAATAATTTAACAACACATTCACATGTTTACAGTTCTCTGATGTCAGTTAATGGTCACATTGACGTGCAGGTAAATATTTATATTTTTAGTGTTTCAATTAGTTTTATTTTACATATTTATGATTTAATTATTAGCTTTTTATCAATTCACAAACCCATTGCAGTTCTTACATTAAGCCCAGTTTGGGGAAACCCTGGTGTAATGTAATGTTTAATGCATTTTAGGATGTTTATACATTTTTTTTTATATTTTTTTCTCTCTTTGCTTTTTTATATCAATATGGTAAGTTTAAAACAGGTTTGATAAAAAAATGATCTAAAAGTAATTTAAAAAGTCATAATACATTGCCTAAAATAAGTATTGAGTAACCTAGATTACCTTACTAACTAGTTTCATAATGTAGTCTGTAATCAGTAACAGACTTAAAATCTGTGACTAAACATCAATACAGTTCGGTTGAACCATAAGTACGCAGTTGTGTACCTTTTTAAGTTATCAAATACTTTTTGGCTTCAAACCAAAGTTTGAGTACTGACGTATCTCAAAGCTATATATATATATATATGTATTAGTGCTGGGCAAGGATGTTTTTTTTAAATCGCGATTAATCGCATTATGCACAAAATTCAATAATGAATTCAAAAGTAGTGTATTGTGCACTTTTTTCATTTAAACGTACTGCTATATGAACAAAAGTGCAATAACATTTGGTTTGCAAACACTTTAAACAAATAAGGTGCTTTTTACAGCAATATTCCTTTTACATAGTAGCAGTTAAAATATTTCTTGTAAACCACAAAGCTATTTGCCACTGCCAGGGCATTAGTAGGGCACACTGCCGGGGGGGGTCCGTTTTTATTTTTCTGGACTCCTTTTTAATGGTTAAATTTAATTTTATTAATCAAAAAGCATGTCTAATTAATTAAAATCATGAAACTTAAACAATTTAACATCAATTTATTAAAAGTTTAACAAATATTACATGTTTAGGGCCCTATGAAATGTTTTGTTTTTTCCAACCTTATGTTTTATTGTTACCAAATTCTGTTTTAGCATGTCTAATTATTTGAAACCATAAAAACAAGTTTAATTTATTCTTACAATAGCCTTATGATTTTTTGCTCCGAAATTCTGTGTTGTGTTACATTTTTTTAACGCATAAAACATTCCTTTAATCTATCTTTTAAGTAATGAAAATTAAACTAATTAAATTTTTTTTAACGGTCAAATGCTCATGAAGTGACTCAGAGCAGTTCTGGAGATGTTGTTCATGTATTTATGTTCTCATTTAGTGAGACGGCAGACGCTAAAATCACCGCAAGCGTCACGTGCGCTTCAGTACAAGTAGTAAACAAAACCGCTTGTCTGCGCCATTCATTAACACAGAGACACGCAGAATTCATATTTAAATATGAATCGTTTTGCGGCTTAATATTTACAACTACTAGTGGCAGTGTGCTCACTTGTGTGTGCGTGTGCGCGCGCATCGGGCAGTACTCCGCTGTGCGTGATACAGAGAGCGCGACCATAACGTAGAGACCGAAATGACATGCCGTTGTGTAAATAAGATAAATAACATACGGCTATTTAGTTTGCTTAATAAAAGAACAAGGTATAGTCCTGTTCTATCGGAAAGGTAACTTTAAATTACTTCTGTTGTGATCTGGCGCTATAGAGAAAATATAATTTAATAAAATGAACTTGACCTTCAAGGGGGGTGCCGTTGGGGGGGCGCGGGCCGCCCCCCCTAATATAATGGCAGGGGAAACACTGGTTTTATGTAAATGGTTCGTTTAGCCGGCCCTGGTGGGCCAGAGCACGGTACGCATGTAGTGTGAGCGCTAACCATGCCGATACTTCTGATAACGTGCAGCATGATTGCGTGAACATTTCTGAGCGGCAAAATTGATAGATCTGTAAAGCAATATATTGTGAGAGGGCAGTGAGTTACCGCGTCCCAAACGACTCAATAATAAACCACAAAGTTAACAAAACAATGCACTCCACTGTGCTGAGTGAGAGCGCATCTCTGCTGTCTTCACGTGCTATCGGAAACTTCCTGTTTCCCACTTATGAAGTCGTGCTTATGAGCACGTTGCATTCTTTTCTGTTAAAAATAACAGTGGACAGTGGTTTGTGAATGTTGATGCTTAGCCTAAATAATTTTATCAGCAGCGTCCATGTGAGCGCTACTGCCGTCTTAGGCCCACCCCAAATGCTCTCATTGGTTGAGACGTGTGATGACACTCATCCCAAGCCAGTACTGATCAACATCCCACCCCTCCTGTGACCCATGGTTTGTCTGTATGTGTGTGTGTATATATATATATATATATATATATATATATATATATACACACAAGGGTGCTAAAAAATGGGCAGTCACTTTTGAACTCAGTTGACTTTATTTATAACATTGACAAAATTATTTATTGATTGTGAATTTATAATTATGCCATAATACGATGACCATAGTCAATTCAAGGTGATGTTGCATTCTAAAAACAAGGAATCTAAGCACCTTATTAGTAAAAACTTTGGCTACTTTTTTCTACTGGTCGTCCCCTGTTTTTTGTTTGTTTGATTTTTGTTAAAACAAATGCAGATTTTAGCGATTATCCTTGAGGGTTTGTGTCACATCAAAATAACATCTAGCTGTCTTTTCTTACAGTGACACCAATGCAAAACATCAAGGGTAGGCGATGGAGCTCCCCAACTATGCCAGTCAACTGCTTCTCCAGCTCAATCAGCAGCGCAGCAAGGTCTTCCTGTGCGATGTCATCATCATGGTCGAGAAC